CCAGCAGACCAGGAAGACGGGGGTGGCTGGACCACCCAAGTCCTCCACGGCTTTGCTCCGTCTCCCTGGTCTGCTGACCTGGGAGATGCAGAGCAATGCTGCAGAGCACACGGGCAGCGGGACAGTCCAGGTGCGCCGCGGCTGTCCCACTGCTGGCGTGCTCCCAGGCTTTGCTCCCCATCTCCCTGGTCTGCTGCGGGCGTGCTCCAAGGCTTTGCTCCCCGTCTCCCGTCTGGACGGTCCCGCCGCCCGCGTCCTCCAAGGCTTTGCTCCTCGTCTCCCTGGTCTGCTGGGGGGATCCCCCCCCAGCAGACCAGGGAGATGCAGAGCCGCTTTTCTCGCCCCGGAGGATGCGGGCGGCAGGACCGCCCACACCAGAGAGACGTGGAGCAACATCATAGGACAGTGAGAACAATCCCATAATTAAGGCTAAAATTTTGTCACAAACATTTTTAGTCAGTCAGGTATAGGTCATGGGCAATAAACACAAATTCACAGAAGCCCGTGACCTGACACTGACTAAAAATATATCTGAAAAAAATGGGTTAGGGAGACGAAAGTCTGACACACCCACTGCTGCTGTGGCTCTGGGGTTGTTCCCACCCGCATCCCCCACAGCCAGGGGTGGCTGGGCAGCAGTGTGTTTATGTGGGGAAGGTGTGGGAGCAGCTTCAGCTCTGCTGTCCTGGGCTGAAGTGGAAAATGTCACAGAGGTCTCTGGAAACCACAAATTCAGTGACCTGCACACACAGCCATAATCTTATCCGGGGTGTGCTGCGATCCATTCCTAGACCTCCCAACAGAAGAGAATGATGAACTCCACAGTGAGATAGTGACTTTTAGTGACAAGAGCACCAACAGAGGGCATGATCTGCCAGCGATGTAACTGAAACGGCTTTTGATCATCAATGTATTTTTAAGTCGACTTTGCAGCGTAAATATGGCCTTTGTAACGTCTGGTTCCCGGGCGGCGGCGCAGTCAATGGATGTAGCATCCGCAATGCAACTACCCCGCTCGCACCAACTGTGACTAGCTTTCGGGAGCCGCCCCACAAGGCCGGGCGGACAATGCAACCCACCCACTGGCCCGCACCCCCCAAACAAG